ACAGATTCTACCTGTCTGCAGGGGTGCTGCAAACACCAGCCAGCCAATGGACATAATGGCATAATTAGCATTACAGAGTAACAGAGATGAAAGGGATCTTGGAGGTCTTCTAGTCCAACCCCCTGCTTAAGCAGGAAACCCTATACCGTTTCAGGCAAATGGTTGTCCAATCTCTTCTTTAAAAACAGGGTTGGAGGACCCACAACTTCTGGAGCCAAGTTGTTCCACTGATTAATATCAAGAAATTTCTCCTTAGCTCTAGGTTGGTTCTCTCCTTGATTAGTTTCCATCCATTGCTTCTTATCCTGCCTTCAGGTGTTTCGGAGAGTATCTTGACTCCCTTGTCTTTGTAGCAGCCTCCCAAATATTAGAACGCTATTGTGTCACCCCAAGTCCTTCTCTTCATTAGACTAGACAGGTCCAAATCTAAGGTGACACAATTTACCTATCTTGAAGTCAACGCCTAAACAGCCCTCCATCCTGGTGATCTCAGAATCTAGGATAAAATTTTCTAGTGGCATCTATTAACTTTTAGAGAACTCTTTAACTAATTTCCCTTGAAGTTTGTATATCCACAGATACAGTTATTTTATTTACCGTATTTGCCGGCGTATAAGACGACTTTTTTGCCCCAAAAAACATGCCTCCAAGTGGGGGGGTCGTCTTATACGCCGGTATATCCACTGCCGGCTTTCGGAGGCTTGTTGGACGCAGCGAAGGCGCCTCTGGCTTCCTGGATCCCCTGCGTCGCTTCCGCTTCATCCCGCTCGCCTCGCTCCGCCCGAGGCTGCAGCCTTACTGCTCTTCCCACGGCCCCTGGCACTCTGCCCTGCCGCTGCAGCCCCGGGGATTTCTGGAGGGCGTTTCCAGTGGTGGTGGGGGGTCGTCTTATACGCCGGGTCGTCTTATACGCCGGCAAATACGGTATTTTGCATCCCTGCCAAATAAAACTGTGGCAGAGCCTAATCAAAAACTGTAATGCAAACAAACTTATCAGAGAAACCCTGGGTAGAGGAAGGTAAGAGCGCCCAGTCATTTTCTCGATCCAGTGTGTGAATTTGCAAGAGACTCTGGGTGAAGACTTTTGTAGTCCAAAAAACTGTTGAGAGTATCTCCTTGACTTCTAAAGTGGGGTTTGGTTCAACAAGGAAAACATAGCATTTCTTTGTATTAAGAACAGTGGCTACAGTTGCGCAATGAAAAACCTATTTTATCATTTGCTTGAAGTTGCTTTAAAAAACATTAAAGGAAGTCTCTTAAGGCGTGGCTGGCATGTCAAAAGCCATTTCAGAATCAAAAGTGTTTGCATGTTGAGTCACAAGAAGGTCTGCAAGCTACTCACGAGGGACACAAGGAGGAGGAAAGCCATGGGGCGGTTCTCCTCCAGCAGGGACAGCTACAGTGTCAGCTGGTGCTCCATTCAAAATCCAAGAAAGAAATACTTAGACTCTTTTAATTAGAGAAAAGATATCTTTTACTGGAAATGAAGAGGATTCTGACTCTGAGGAAATAGGCGCGTAAATCACATATACAAAGTGATGGAAATGTTCCCACCCCCAATAGTTCAAATGGTTCTTCCAATTAAAAGTTGTGAATATCATCATGTGGACATGTTCAGGTGGTGATGAAGTTTCTGTCCGTTGACCTTGGCATACTTTGATAAAGGTTTGCAGCTGCGCAGAGAAGAAAAGGCTAAGCAAGAAATAGAAACCTAAGCAAGAATGTACTCCCCCCCGCCCAGTTTATACAATACTAGTTTGTATCACCTCCAGCTCGCTTCCCATACTTTTCCCCCCATCCTCCCCCCGTTACTTATGGCAGCCGAAAGATGCAAAGCAAAGGTAGAAGATCTTGAAGGCTGACATACAGAGTGAAGTCAGGGATTCATTCCTGTTAATCTGATGCAGCCAACAGGCATTCTCTTCTCCACTGTTGTATATACAATGAGGCATCTTTCCCTCACTGTTGTTCTGAAATCTACCAGCTGGAATCAGAAACAGAGAACTTCAGGAAGGGTTTGTGGGTAGCATATCGGTCTCTTACTCAACGAAGGAGATTTGCAGCCCAAGATCTCCCAAAACATCACCTTTTAATCCACTTCGACCCCAAGATCATCAACTAGAGAAAGAGCCAGAGCTGAAAAGAGGTTTTTTTGCAGACAACTTTGCCAAATTGCCCTACGATGAGAACATTGTGTTGTTGTTTTTTATCAGGAAACCTCAGATAAGAGAGATTCATAACCTTAATAGCAGAGTACAAAAGCTTATAGTTGTGCCTACTTATCTAGCACAAAATGTGCGTAAATATTCTAAAGTGGGTCATCAAGATCGAGAGCCGGGAGAGAGGCCACTCGGACTTTTCCAGGGAAGCTGGAAACACTCTGGATTGCAACGGAAGGCCCTTCAGCCTTGATCTCAGCCCTTCGCCAAATATCTTCAGGGCTGCTCAGTTGAGGAGCCCGGCAAGGACAGAGGATCTGAGCTGATGACCGCTGGCTCCAGGCACCCAGGGGCAGCTGGAAAAGCTCACGAGGACATTTTAAAAGCATCAAAGCAGGCAGCCCTTTTGTAGCGAAGGCCCTTTGGGAAACGCCCCTTCCATCTGAGTGAAGAGCCTGGGCCTCCAGGTTTCCAAGACCTGAGGGGCAACAGTCCTGCTGGAAGTTCTTCTCTGACGTGGACTTCAGTGCCATCATGTTTAATCAACAGGGCTGGGGATTATGGGAGTTTAAATCCAAGACTCCTGGAGACCATTGGATGGAGAGAGGGCCACCCTGAAAGCTACCAGCACAGCAAGACTGATTTTCCTTGACAAGTCAACGGGACTGAAGAGCAAGTCAAAAAAACACCAGTCCAATTCACTAGGAAAGCCAGTTTGGTCTAAATAGTTAAGGCACCAGGCTAGAGGCCTGGAGATTTGTGAATTCTAGTCCTGCTTTAGGCATGAAAGCTGGCTAGGTGATTTTAGGCCAGTTCTTCTCACAGCCCAACTCACCTCTCAGGGTATTGTTGTGGGGAATGTAGAGGGAGGGAGGAGTATTGTATATGTTCGTGGCCTTTCTTGCAAAGTAATAAAGGCAGGATAACATTAAAAAAAATGCAAAAATATCCACAACTTGAGTAACAATTGCTGCAAACTCCTGCGTGTTCAACCTTGCATCATTTACAAGGAAAGCAGATTCTTTTCTCGTTCAAGCAAGTCCTAACTTCCCCCTTGGAGGAAACTAAGTACAAAGGACCACCAGTGAAGAAGGCAGATTCTTTCTCAGCGAGCAGTAGACGTATTTTTGCATTAACAAGATTTCCTAGTTCCAAACTCGTCCTTGTCGAAAGGACGAGTTAAACTGCAGAGTTGGAGAAGCCGTCCCTGGCCTTTATTTATTTATTTATTTATTTATTTGATTTGCCAATTGTTTACAAGATAATAAGTATAAATGTATACATAGTTGTGAATACATGAAATGGGTACATATAAGAAAAATAAAAGAATAAGGGAACTTATTTTATTACTTTCTGGGAACTTAAATGTTTTGTTACTTCCCTGGTTATTATTAATTTTTTTTTAATAACAACGGAAACCATGCATTGTCTGCCTCCTCTGTAGGGCATTTGGTTATTTGCTTTTGTGCATTGAATGATTTGAGGCTTGTTTTTCTCTCCTTCCACACTTGGCAATCTGGAAAATTGAAAGAATGTAGAGGAGGACCCGGCTTTGAAGATCTTAATCTAGCTGCTTCTCTTAAAGGAAGACAAGGCAGTGCTTTTGTTGATTTAAACACACATATTATGCAACGTTGTGTGTCGACATTTAGAGTAAGCAACAAAGGATGCCCAGCAATGTGGTCACATTGCAGCAAAAATTCCAGACAAGCCCGAATCCGCAAGCCACAGTGTCAGTTTTGAAATCAGACAATGAAACAACTTTATCTCCAAAACAGACAGTTTTTTTCTGTACACTGTTATGTTACCTGTATCTTGCCAGTCTTCAAATACAAATCCCCAGAATTCGGTAGAGTTAACAAACGTGTCCCAATTTCTTTGGGCAAATATCAAAGAACTTGCGTGTTGCATTTTTCTTATGTTAGATTTTTCTATTTTTTATTCCGCCTTGGTTCTCTAGATGTTGCTTCACTACAACTCCCATTATCCCAAACTAGCGTATTGTGAGTCAGGTTTAGCCTAGTGAGAGTTCGAAGACCATAACTTGAAAGGGGTTACGGTTGAAACTGCAGCGTATAAGTGCTCAGGTAGACACCCTCGTTCATGAGATGAGGGGCAACGCCTTCTTTGCTATTACCACCCTCTCTCTTTCTCTGCTCACATTCTTAATTCAGCTGAAGTTGTAGCAAAATAAATAGGAGGAAGATGCTGAAACGCCTCTGTACTCCTTAAGCCCTGAGTGGACTCTTGTCTCACTGTTCACATCCTCTCTAGGAGAAGACAAATACCAATGCTTAGATCTTTTGTTTCCTTTCCCTTTCTCCTTTCCTCCTTCTCTCTCTCTCTTTCCTCTGTTTCCTTTTTCTTTCCCTCACCTTCTCCTCCTCCTCTCCTCTCCTCTCCTCCCCTTCTACCTGTCCCTTCCTCCTCCTCCCCTCTTCCTCCTCCTCCTCCTCCTCCTCTCCTTCCTTCCCCTCCCTTCCTCCTCCTACTGTCCTCTCCTCTCCTCTCCTCTCTTTTGGTCCCCCACTCATAGGAAAAGCCAGTCCTTTCCGTGTAGGCAAAATGTTTCACCCCCAGCAGCCCTCTCCTTTTTAAAAAAAAAAAAAAAGATTTTTTTTATTTTTGAACAAACATACAATAGCCCAGCAAAGACTGAAAAATAATAATCATTCCTTGAATTCTGTCTGTAGTAGAATGGGATATATGGACTTGCAAGTATGCATAGAAGCCTCCTCTCTCACTGCTGCAACATTTGGCTCCAGCACCCCCTCCTCTCCCCACTGATGAAGGCGTTGCGGTGTAGTAAGGAATAAAAATGAAGCAAAAGGTTAGAATATCTGGCTTATAAAAATTTTTAATAGAAATAAGTGGAGGCATCAAAGCCCACTAACATGTACAAAATGTAGGAGAGACGAGAAAACAAGAATCAACAGACACATGTATCCAGACCTCCTTTCTACAAAAATTCTGCCGTGTGATTGAAAAAATCATCGTTCAGCATCCAGGACAATCGGTAGAAAGATTTCAGCCCAAACGTACACATGCATAAATATCATCCAGTCCAAAGCATTCTGGCTAGGAAGCTTTGTAATTCTGATGGAGAAGGGAGGTTGGACAAGAGAAGGTTCGTAGCCTGGGAAAAGCTAAACTGGCAGCAAAAGCTTCTGGCCTCCCCCTCCTCCTTGCCATGCGCTCTTCCATTTTTCTAACTGATCTTCCCCCAAAAACCTGAATTCATGAGGAGATTGAAACTCAGGCTTTTTCGTGATCGTGTCACCAGATCTTTGGACTCGAGGAAGAGAAGACAGCACAAAGCCTCTTATTGTTGAGGTCGAAGGCACCAAGATAAACTTCCAACTGGCTTAATGTATCTCCCACAGAGCTGGCTCGTTTTTTGGAAGACGGATAAAGCTAAAATACAGAGGAGGGGGTGAAATCTCGTAGGTGAATCAGGTATTTGACAGACAGGGATGACCCAGATATTCGATTCTTCCCTTTATGAGTTGTAAAGGTGGTGGGTTTTTTTAAAACCTTATCTTAAGCTTACTTTTGGTCATCGGTTATGGGGTGGGGGAGATACCCCCCCAACTCTGGCAAGTTACACTCTCAAATTTGGACACAAAGCAGGTGGCGAGGGCTGCCAGGAAACAAAGGTACGACCACCTGTGCTCTAAATATCAAACCATGATATTAGCTTTTTGCAAAGGTCAAACCACATCAAATTGCTCCACTTAGAAAACCTAGGATGAGTCCTGATGCTGCAACCGTTGTCCGCACCGTGTCTCAGCGTGTGTGTGTCGCTCGGCTAGCATTCCCACAGGTGTTGGGACTTCAGTGTCAATCATTCCCAGGAATTTGGGGAATGCTAGTGTAACTAATTGCTGTTTGGATCTCGACCAACCAAAAATGGGGTAAAAGTGAGTTGGGACAAAGCTAAATCCCACTGCATTCAGTGGAAGCTGGTCATGCGCTCCCATGCTTGTTTACACAGAAGTAGGCCCCAGGGAATTTAGCACGGCTGAGCCCCTATCAGTACGTGCGGGGTTGCAGCTGAAATAAACAGACCATCCAGAGCCAACCCGTTATGAAGAGTCCCCAAGTTATTTCTCAACGGACTCTGTTTAGGGATTTTAATTTCTACTCTCTTGGGAAAAATAGGACATGTGTTTGGCAAATGGAAGATGCAACCTCGCTCCTCTTAAAAGCTGTGAATATAGTGACACTCGGGTTAAGCTTATTTACTTGTTTACCAGTAAGCATGCATTGGAATTTGGAATAGTCCAAAAGAAGAACATATCTTCAGAAAGACATGGTGTTCTTTGGCATATGATCCCGTAACCGCCACAAACGCACGCAGGGCTTTAAAAGAAGGCTGAAGATACACTCGAGAGGCCCAATAAAATGATGCCTAGTATACAATTTCACAGGGTGCAATCTGGTTGAGTTGGAAGGGATCTCCAAATGCAGCTTGGTGGCATCACAAACGTTTGCCGTGTGAGAAGGGCCAATCTCAATTCTTGGCATTGCCATTTGAAAAGGGCAGATTATAGGTGACAAGGAAGCCTAATCTCTGTGTAAAAAAAAAAAAACTAGAGGAGAAGAATAAATCTCAAGGGTGGTAGATGATTAAAGTCGATAGAAGGAGCCCATAGATAATTGGGGGGGAGGGGTCTCCGGAGCACTGCTTTAAGGTCTGTTAGCTCAACCCACCACAGTTGCATGGACTTCCTTCTGAAAACGCTAGTTGTCAAAGCCCATCTCTTCCCCCTTCTCAAAACTCACTTTGACCCACAGAGGTCCAGCGTCGTCCCAGGTTCTCCTCTCCAAACAAGCTTACCACTGCATTTAAAAACATCACAAGTAAAATCATTCCCACATACAAAGTTTTGGGTAGACAGATGCTCTTCTGAAGGCACGTGTCTACCTGGCAGGTTTCCCCAAGGCTTGGCTCATGGTAGACAAGCAAAAGTCCTAGATGGTTTTCCCAAAACCAGGAAGGATGCTTTCGTCTGGATATTGCAGAAGGCAATCCGTGAAGGCACCAGTGCTGCACAAGTGCCCTGACGTAGGGCATAGAATTGTGGGGTTTGGGACTGCATAGTGCAAAGGTGCTGGACAAAACAAAACAAAAAAAACCCCAAATCAGTGAACCCCAGAGCAAGAGCTATTTTTATTCAAAATATGGAGGCTAGGAAGTCTTCTCCTCCAGGGGAAGTGCTGGTTAAGTGCCATCTCTAATCTACCTCCAGGAAGCTCTTCCACTACTTAAAAAAGGAAGAGACCAAAAAGATATCTGCAAGTATTTCTCTCTGTAGATCATGGCCGATAGGCTGACGTCTGTTTTAAACGGCAGCAGTGAAAGTAACCATTCCATCCATTCTCTCTCAAGCACTGCCTGAAATGGAGGAAGTTTGTAGAACCCCAGGATGAACGTTGGGCTGCTCCGTCTAGTTCTGATATTCAGAACCAGTTCCGGGCCTCAGGAAGGATCCTAAACTGATCCCTCTGGCCCAGGGTCCCGTTTGTGGATCTGGGAACTCTTATAACAACCAAGTGGATTCCTAAAAGCCCGAAGGCTGCCAGCTCTGATTCAAGAAAGATGCAAGAAAGATGGATGTAGCTTCTAAGAGGTATAACCAACAATGTGTTCTCCCTTCAATCGGAGACAGCAGAGCTACAGTACCGCCCTCCAGGAAACAAAACACGAACTCCTTTTCCACCAAAGAGTTTGGTCACTTCCTTTCTGATGCAACCTCCAACTTATCATCTCAGTTGCCTGGGCAGAGCAACCCGCAAGCAAGATCTCCAGTGCAAGAGGAGGGGAAGACCCCAGCATTAGCTAGCTATCCTATTCAGTTTCCTAAATGACAGCAGGAGAGACATTCCCGGAGCAAGAGTACCTAAAGAAGAAGCTGGCGGCAAATCCCCAGCAGCTGGTGTGTCCCCTTAGCTCAGTCCCGCTTTGGCCAGATTTTGTGTTTGACCTTGACCATCATGTAGAGGGCTGTGAGGCTACAGCAAGCCATCAGCACAAGGCACATGATGGAAAAGAAGGGAGCGAGGTCGCCATGCAGGTCAGCATAAATGTGCCGCCTCGTCTGGTAATCGATAAGCACCGCCTCTAACTGGATGAAGGTACAAAGCATGAGGAACATGTGGAAGAGCTGGTGGCCCTGTCCAACAAAGTGACACTTCCCGGGAAACCACTTCTCGGGGTAAGGGTAGGCGAAAAAAAAGGCTGCAACCAGGAAGCACAAAACGTGGCACTTATGGTAGGTAGCAGCCAAGTCATTTTTCCCGGAGATGGTGGAGGTGTAGATACGATGGAGCACAGGGCTGATGTCTAAAGCATAGGCTACCGCGGAGGGCATTTCCTGGCAGAGCCTGCCCTGCAGAGGGGAGAGGTGAGGGCATCGGTATTTGGCGTAGCAGGAACCAGCACAGGACAACCAAGCCAACCCCACTGCGCCCAGAATGTAGAAACTGGAGATCCAGGCGTGCCATTCTGGCTCAATGGCGTAGTAGTAATGCACCAAAGCGCTACTGTACTGGTAGGTGGCCACCCCGACATAGTCCATGAAGAAGAACGTGTAGTGGCAGAACTCAGACTTGGCTTGCAAGAGATGAGCCAAGCTGCTGAAGGTGGAGTAGATGATGGAAGACACAGCCACGATGCAGAAGGGCTGTGCGTGCAGGTCGCCCGCAAAATCAACTATCTGGGAGAGTTGCCAGAACCGCCCCAGCAGCATGAAAGCCGCCAGCAGATGCGTCCAGACGTTGAGCGCTTCGTTATGCTGCTGGAAGAGGGACAGGAAGTAGAAGGTCCAGCTCCGGTTGAGGGGTCGGTAACCGGCGTGGATGTAGGGCTTCCGGAAAAGCTGAGGCACCTCTGAGGCTGCCATTGTGCAGGATGGAGCAGGCAAGGCCTTGGACAGAAGTTGAGGGATTTTGCACAAGTGCTGGAGGTTGATGAAGAGGTGGCTGAGTTTTTCAGATACAATCGTTGCCATGACAGGAAAGGGAGAGACCTTGAAGAGGGAGGCAAAAAAGACATTCAGAGGGAGAACACAGCAAAGCCAGCGGGATTGATCTTGATCAGCATTCTAGGATAACGGAAGTCAGTGGGCCAGCAGGCCATTGGGAGGAAGCAGATGTGTGCATCAACACACACACACACCCCCCCCAACACATAAACACAATTCGGCAGGAACTTAAGACTGCGACAGCCTGGTGCCTCTTCATCTGGAAATTAAGCCTAGCTGAACGCAGCAGGACTTGCTTTTAAGTAAACACACCCTCTACTACACTGCTTGGATACAACCAAAACAGGAATGCAAAAAAAAAAGAAGAGCAAAGTTCAAGACAGTAACATGGAACGGTGCTAAATGGTGTACGGCTTTCGGTTTTATCCCAAACAACTTGGAGCATTTGAAAGCAAGACTTGAAAAGTCAGAAATTGGAGGCTTAGTGGAGCCATTGTAATTCTAAATTTTCTAAGTTGTCAAATTGCATAACTTCAGAACAACCTAATCCAGGGGTCCACGGAATGGCCCCTGGTGCCCAGAAGGTTGGTGAGCACAGATCTAACCCAGATACATAAGTAAGGAATGAGTAAATCAGGTGGGTGGACGTGCACCCAACATAGGTAGTCCTCCATGTACGAAGCAGAATTGAGCCCAACATTTCTGTTGTTGAGCGAGACATTTGTTAAGTGAGTTTTGCTCCATTTTACAACCTTTCTTGCCACAGTTGTTAAATGAATCACTGCGATTGGTAAGTTAGTAACCTGGTTGTTAAGTGAATCTGGCTTTTCCATTGATTTTGCTTGTCAAAAAGATGGTACAGGTAACCACGTGACCTTGGGATTAAGCCACATTCACAAGTATGAACCAAGCGTCTGAATTTTGATTGCATGATCATGGGGATGTTACAATAGTCGTAACCGTGAAAAATGTTGAGAAATTCCCCCCCCTTTTTTAGTGCTGTTGTAACTTTGAACGGACACTAAGTGAACTGTTGTTAAGTCGAGGAATACCTGTACAAAATTACTTACAACCTCCCTGGAGCACAAATGATAAAATACTGCTTAGGATACTGTACAACAGGGGTGTCAAACTCCAGCCCGCGGGGTGCGTAGATCTGGCCCATGGGGCTGCCCTGGAAACAGTGAAGGACCAGCCCACGATGCCTCTGCCAGCCAAAATGGAGCTCAGGAGGGCCCTCCCGACCTCCGTTTTCGCTGGCAGAGGGTTGCAGGAGGCCATCGCAGGCGAAAACGGAGCTCGGGAGCCCATTTTCACTGGCAGAGCGCTTGGGCCATCACAGGCACCCCGACATGAGTGATGTCAAGCTGGCCTCGCCCTCTGGCCGTGCCCCTTCCCAAGGTCAAACACAACCCTGATGTGGCCCTCAATGAAGTTGAGTTTGAAATCCCTGTTGTACAACAATGGAGAGGAATGGAGATCAATGTGTGTCTTGCCTAAAGAAGTACGTGTTTGAAATCAAGGTCAGACCTCAAAAAACAAAGGGTTCCTAACTTTATGGAGATGGAGACAATTACCGGAGAAATGAGAGGGGCTCAGCTCAGGGGCTGCGTTTGTGTGTCCACAGGGGAGAGAGAGAGAGAGAGATGGGGGGGGGGGGAAGAGCTCATCCTTCTTAAAAGACTGCCTGCTGCAGCACATCTGCACCACCTAACAGCTGGTTTTCCTCTCTCTCTCTCTCTTTCTCTCTCTCTCTCTAGACTTGTTTTCCTCTCCTAGCTAGAAGACAAATGTGCAGGGCTAAGGGAGGCATCAGCTACAATGCACGTGATGAGTCTTTCACCAGGCAGCCGTGAGACCAGATAAGCTTTTCAGCATCATGAGCGTGTTGCTGTGGGCCGTTTGACAGGCAGAGAGAATGCGATGTGCCCGGTGCGCCACTCAGGAGCAGCCTGGCTGGGTAGAAGAATTAGTTCTAAGGCTCTTTTCTTTAACTGCTGTTCAGGAAGTCTGTCTAAACCTCCGGTAGATTAAAAAACAAAAAACAAATTCCCTAGTTTGAAAATGATTGCCAGGCATCATATTTATCCTGGCAGCTTTGTCCTCTTGCACAACACAAGAAGTAGATTGGTGACTTCCTCAAAGGTCTTCTTTGTTCAGGCTGCACTTTCTGGATGGGAAGGAGCTGGGTCAGGGTTACATTTTACTATCTGCCAGGTGCTAAAAACCGACTGAGATTTACTCCAAGAATCAGATGGGTGACTGTGATGATGGCATCAGGCGGATAACGATCGCCTTCTCTGCATCGCTTCTCCCCAATCAGATGTCCTCTAGATGTGTTGGACTCCCAACTCCCACCAGGTGATGGACTGGACAGTCAGACACATCTGGGGAGTGAGGGGGAGGAAAGGCTGCCCGGGCTGACCACGTGACGATCTGGTAAGGAAGGGTAAAGGCACAAGCCGCGTTCATCACACAGTTATGCTTCACCTCACTCGGGGGCTCAAGAGGGTCACTTTAGAGCAAAAATACAGGAGTCAAGTTCTTCACAACTGTAATGGTGGCTTCCATACAACGGGAGGCGAGTAGGAATAATCCAATCTCACGTCTCCATCTTATTTTCATTCCGTTCTTGCAGAGGCCCTTGATTTTATCTGTTTTACTTCTATAAATAAACTAATAATAATAATAATAATAATAATAATAATAATAATAATAATGCTCATCTGTTTTAAGAACGTAGACTTCATCTCCCTTAAGAGCTGTGGTGGCACAGTGGTTAAATGCAGTACTGCAGGCTACTTCTGCTGACTGCCATCTGCCTACAATTTGGCAGTTCGAATGTCACCAGGCTCACAGTTGACTCAGCCTTCCGTCCTTCCTAGGTGGGTAAAATGAGGACTCAGTGAAGCAGTATATAAGTCTAAGTGCTATTGCTATAAGAAAGCATTCTCATTCAACTTTCCATAATTCTGGAGAGGATGATTAAAAGACTTCCTCAGATTATGGTGCTACCTTTATTAATAATACTCTTGCTAACTAACCACTTTAGATGGCCAGAAAGAGAGGAGTGTTTTCTTTTGGTCTGCAGAAATATCTAGGAGACTTCACTATATTTGGTGCAGCGGTAACTGCCATAAAAGGCCCTAGGATTTTCAAAGGACATCTTGATTTATTCCCGTGAGATAGGGCTCATTTGTTTTATTAGGTGTGTAGGAAGTATTAGCTTTCTGTTTGAGTTCTATGCAAGCATATCTGTAAGAGGCAAGCAAAGAAAGTCAAGATGCAAACTGTGACCTTGTTGCTTTTTAATGTCCATTGTGCACAGGGGGCAGAGCTTAGATTGCAAGGTGTAAAGAGGGCGGAATATGACCTAGATGGAGATATATGCAGGAGCGGTTTCCTGGCACAAAGGTCTGAAGCATATTTTAAGTCCACAAGGAAATAACATCTTGCAGAAGCCCAGGCAGAGCAAATCCCTAATTCACTGAAGTAAAAGCTCCAGCGTAATCAGACTTGCAAAATTCTGTTATTACAGCCAATCTCAGTAAAAGTAGTTTTGGCCTTCCTGGTGTGTGTGTGTGTGTGTGTGTGTGTGTGTGTGTGTGTGTGTGTGTGTTGTTTTTCTGCTTTGGTCTACTAGCGGAAGGACCGAAGGACACCATCTTTTTCCTTTCCTTTCTTGCAGATGCCTTTGTCTGTATCTGCTTTTCTTCTCTAAATAAACTAATAAGAGCAACAGTGTACAAATACAAATCAGGAAAATGTGCTTGGGACAAGATAAAGTGGGCTAGACAAACAATGGAGTTGGTCAAAAGGGATAGGAAGGTAGGGTTTGTTTATTTTTTTACATTTTTAAGAACATATGTGTGAGTTACAGCTTAATGGCAAAGACGAGCCCACAAATGCACTGACCACTAGGCCAAGGCTGTCTGATATCCAGTAAAGCTTCTACCAACTTGCATATTTGATGTGCCATCTTGTAGCTAACATGGCCCTTCCCAAACATTATCAGGCTACAAACCATGTGTGCTGAAAGGGAGGTCCTAAGTGCTGGGTAAGTATGATAAGGAGGGTGAAAGCGCATGGGACGGGTGCGGGGTGTGGGGGTAGGAATCTCTCCACCTAACACACACTAGCAAAAACCCCAAACAACAGAGCCACAACAGAGAATGTTGGAAGCAAGACGTCAGTTTCTGGATTCCAAGACCTAAAGATGAGTCCCAGGCTTGGTGAAGCGCAGGAGAAGCAGGACATGCTGGCTGTCTTCACGTAGCACACTCAAAACAGCTACAGGTAGTCCAGCTTCTGAGCAGTTCTGGAGAACCAGTAGCAGAAATTTTGAGTAGTTTGGAGAACCAGCAAATCCTGCCTCTGACTGGCCCTGTCCCCATCTATTCTCTACCTCCCGAGTCCCAGCTAATCGGCTGGGTCTTCTTTGGTTGCCCTGCACAGGAGAATTGAGCTGGAAAGCAGGTTAGCGGGGGTGCAGAGGTGGTATTCAGCAGGATCTGACCAGTTCTGGAGAACCGGTAGCAGAAATTTTGAGTAGTTCGGAATACCGTCTCTGACTGGCCCCACCCCCATCTATTCTCCGCCTCCCGAGTCCCAGCTGATTGGCTAGGTCTTCTTTTGTTGCCCTGTACAGGAGAACAGAGCTGGAAAGCAGGTTAGTGGGATGGGGAGGGAATGGAGATTTTACAGTATCCTTCCCCTGCCAGGCCCACCAAGCCCACAGAACCGGTAGTAAAAAAAATTTGAATCCCACCGCTGAGGTAGTCCTTGATATATGACTACAACTGAGCTCAAAATTTCAGTTGCTAAGCAAGGCAGCTTTTAAATGAATTTTGCCCCATTTTGTGATCTGTCTTGCCATAGCTTGCCATACTGTTAAGTGAAACCACTGCAGTGTTAAGTGAATAACGCAGTTGTTGTGTGAATCAGGCTTCCCCATGGACCTTGCTTGTCAGAAGGTCGCAAAAGGGGATCACATGACCTGCAACCGATGTAAATACAGGCCAGTTGCCAACCATTCGGATTTCGAC